GGAAAGACAGCATGATCAAAGGGACAGGAAGAAAAAAACTTACCACTTGGGTGCACCCCCTCTGCCAAGCAGCCCTGATCCAAACCCCAGCTGACTTTCCCCATGCCACCCTTCAGCAAACTGCATGCTGACATCCCTGCAGACCCACACGGGCAGAGGCATTGAGCTACTCTGTGCCCAGGCAATGGGAACTGGACTGCTTCTGTTTTGCCTTCAGTAGTGCACAGTGTCAGACACTTACTGGATTGGGCAGTTCTGGCTTCGATTGTGGGGGTGTAGACTCCTACTCCCAGCTCTGAGCGGGCACCCAGACGGAACTTATACAGCGTGTCTGGTTTCAGACCTTCCACAGCATACGAGGAGGTTGGGTCAAACTCCACCTTTTGCTGGCAAATAAAGGGAAACAAAAATTACTCGGTGTAGTTGGAGAATACAGAAAAGCTGGCACTCAGCTTCCAGTGCCAAAGGGATAGGGAGCCCCCATCACCCACTGTGGCCCCACAGAAAGTTATAGCCATGCTGCCATGCTGCCATACCAGCTCCAGTTCTGCAGGACTCCAAGACATGGAGCTTCCTGGGTGAAATACAAGGACTCTGCAGGGAAGCAGAGCTCTTTGAAAGCCAGGTTACACTGCCTGGTGTCTAGACCAAACTCACTACCCAACAGCTTTGTGGGAATGCTGGGTCAAGCTGCACAGTTTGTTTCCTTCCAACAGACTGTGTCTGCCTGTCCTGGGGTATTCAACATAATACACCTACACAGTCCTGGTAAAGGACTTGTTTTGCTGCCACCTCACCTGGAGGGCATTTATTTCTGGCAGCTCTCATGCCACTATAAACACAGGAGGAGAAAAGAAACGGGACACTGTGATGCTGCCATAGCACAGTCCTCACTGTGTGTGCTGCCAGTACTAGTTTTGATATATTTAGAGCCGGATTTCTTTAGGGAACCTCACAGTAAGTGTAGAAAGGCTCTCTAGGTCACCATCAATCTGCTCCTTAAGTGTAACCAGTCCTGAAGCTGCAGACACATTTCAGACCCACCTGGAAGAACTGTGCAACTGTTTAGAGGGACTGGCAGTCAGGATGCTTCAGGGATGGTCTCATGGTATTCTGGAGACTTTCCAGTCCCAAATCAGTCACTAGCTACTTTGTTGGGCATCAACACGCACTGCTGAGGTAATTTACACAGAAGCCAGACAGAGATTGCCATACTTACCATACACCCATGAGACACAGGAAACATGTAGGAAAAAACAGTCTCATTGCCATCTCAGTTCAAGCAGACACCCTTCCCAAGCTGTTGAATTGTGATGTTTGGCCCCAAGTGTTGCTGACACAGAGGTAGGATCCTCACCTGAGTGCCATCCTCCCCTTCCCAGAACAGCAGCTCATATTTGGTAATGCGCTCCTGCGAGGCAGGCAGCCATGTCAACAGGATGCGGGTATCAGACTCTGCTTCTGCCTGGAAGTCAGCCGGCTGGGCAGGAACTGGGGACCAAACGTATGGTTAGTGCCAGGAGGCAGATGCAGGGAAAAACTCCTTTTGTTCCTTCTGGAGCCTCCCTTCTTCCCTTTCGACAACACTTTCCTGTTGGAACAACCCAGGCAACAAGCAAGCACCTCTGGGACCCAGGCACGTGACTTAAGGGAATCGCACTCACTTCCAGTCCCTGATGGCATCACAGCTCCTTCCTTACACACGCATACTCACACCCCAGAAGAGCCCAGTACAGTTACACAGGTCCATACCCAGGACTCCGTGTTACATGTTTTAGTCGTATCTCAGAGGAAACTGTGGGCTGTGTAACTTCTACAGAGATTAATACCAACTCCCCAGGACAAGCTGACAGCTTCACTGTGATGGGGATGCCGCTCTGACAGGCAACCGCTTGAGCATCAAGCGCAGCTGGGATGCCTGGTGCAGATCAAGACACACAGGTGAGCTGTACACTACTGGGGTGGACACTGAACTGTAGCACTTCAACTCCATACGTACCTCCTTGCTGCGTTTTGACCTGGATGATGTCCGAGGGGGGACCGTCACCCACCGAAGTAAAGGCCAGGACACGAATGCTGTACGTGGTCCCAGTGATGAGGCTCCCCACGGTGGTGAGGTGGCTGTCATCGGTGTTGTGTTTCTGCCACATGCTCAAAGGCAGATGGGGGTCGGTGGTATAGTAAACACGGTACCCTCTGATCTGTCCATTTGGCTCCTCTGGCTGCTCCCACTGGACCAGCATGGTGCTGGCACTCAGCATCCGTGCCTGGACTTTGAGGGGTGGACTTGAAGGAGCTTGCTCTCCTGTCCGGGCCTCAACCAGCTCACTGGGGGGACCCCTGCCAATGTTATTGACTGCGATGACCCGGAACTCATATTCTGAGAAGGGGCTGAGCCCACCTATGCTATAGCGGGTTGTTGCCACACCGTCCACCTCCTGGAACTGACCCTCTGAGGATTTGGGCTTGTACTGGATGACGTAGTATGAAATAGGGTCGGAGTTGCCCGAATCCCAGGTGAGGGTCACGCTGGTAGCTGTCGTTTCAGTCACCAATGGCTCTGTTGGAGGTTTTGGCAGTGCTGCAATTGGAAGGCAGAGAGGTGTGATTTAAATAATTCAGTCAGCTCAAACCCTGCAATGTGCATGGGGATAAAAACGGAGCTGCCACCTCCCATTAACATTCTTATTTAAAAGGCAGAAATCATTTCATACTCCAGAACATGCATTTTTATATTACCATATATTGTTTGAAGTGGTTCTTAATGGAAGGATAAACAGAGCAATCATGTTATTAGACGTGCTTGACGCACTTACCAGCAGCAGGCTAAATAAAGGTAATTCAACAGGGATGCAGGAATGTTTCTGCCATGGGGGTTCAGCTGGCAGAGGGAAGGTGCTTGCTGGGCTGAGGTGGGCCCAGAAGCCAAGTGTTCAGCTGATTTACAAATGGATACAGTAAAGCAATTGGAGCACTACAGGTAATTTGGAGCTATGCTCCTGTGTCCATAGAGACAGCATCTTAGGCCATAGGGACAGTTCATGGAGAGTGCTGTTAGATGGGTTGATGGGGGAATGCCTTGTAAGTATTGCAATACATGCAGGAGCGATACAGCCAGAAAAATTACCAACTTTCACATCCACTATTTCACTGGGTGGTGTGTCAAACTGCAACCAGACAATAAACTGTTACACAAGAACTCTGTAACACTGACATCTCTGAAGTGTTAATGAGGATGCAACTGCTGCAAAAAAAACATTTCCAGATTTCGCATTTTACCAAAAGAACAAAGGAAGAGAATGAGTGTGTGTTAGAGATATTTGCAGAGTACACAAATACTTTAAGACAATGACTGAATTAAAGTCTACAGTAAGTTCAAACCTCCTACGAAACACTCTAGTTAAGGTCATTAGTGACTTGTAATGCAGCTGTGCTTGACGAGGAGTACTCAAGTATTTCATTCTTTGGCAGAACCATCAGGTTTCCAGTTTCCATGTGGTTCAGCTGAGGATGTCATGCTCTTTAGCACAGGAGCATGCCTGCTCCAAGTGCCAGGAAGGATGCCTTTTCCAGTGCTACTGCAACATGAATACTGAGCAAATCAGTAAGGGCCGAACTGGCACAGGAGGGAAGAGTGTGCAACCCACAACCAGACACACCACTACCCATGCAGGACTGGAGGAAGGCAAATGCATCCCGCCCAATAATACACCCTGAAGAAACATATTCCCTAGAGCACCCAAGAAACTGGCTGTCCCCCATAGGCTTTCAGGGACAGATGACATGAATCCATCCTTTCCTTTGGAGAGCTGCAAGCTTAACTCTTGCCAGCTACTGGGTGTGCAGCCTGCATGTGAGCAAGGGGCAGGTCTTGTACCTTCAATGGGATTACTGCAATCTGTACACAATACTGTGTTATCTTGCCTCTCCTGTCTGCCCTGCAAATGGTCTACTTGCCAGCAAGCACAGGAGAAGCAACACAGGTTGGAGAAGTTACAGAAAGAGACAGTAAGATATCCAGAAAAGACAGACCTAAAACAAGGAGGAAGGCAATGAGCTAAACGAGCTGAGTGTACTGGTCTCTGTTCTAGGGGCCTCTGCAGTCCTGGGGCAGCAGTGGGCATCACATCAGCCAAAGACGGAGAAAGGCAGTGACACCCCAGTTAAAAGGAGGTAATACTGAGAACAACCAATGCAATGGTGCAGTTTCCACCTCCTTTCTCCACGTCCAGGCCACCTCCCCATCATGCCCCTTTCTTCTCTACACTCTTGAGTATGTACTATAACCAAGGCAGCCCTTGTACTCTGTAAGAAAATTGGGGCTGGAAAAGGTACTGACTAGCAGGCACTGTGAGTAACGAGAGCAGTGTGTGGCTAAGGTTAAAAGCATCCTCTGACTAGCACCAGGGAAAAGAGAATTTGCTGTTAATCTCCAGGTCAGAAAGGGCTCACAGTCAATTCTGTGATTCGTTCAAGCAGGCACTTGGTGCTAAAGGTGACCATAGCACAGGAGGGGCCTGCCAGAACAGACTCAAAAGATGACGTATCTGGAAATCTGAGCTACAAATCAACTGCTAGGAGCAGAGGCAAGGGATAGCGTGGACCTACTTGGCTCCAGACGGAAAAGGAAGGACATATACACTTCAGCTTCCCGTTAGGTAGCTGTCTGGGTGGGCTGCTGACGGTCAGCAATAACGTTCTCTTTAGGGCAAAGCCAGCTGTGAAATGGCAGCAGGAAGCCTGCTTTAAAGGCAGCAAGAAAAGAAAGGGAAA